GGGGCTTTTCTGCACCAACCGAAAGTAATCTAAATCCAGGCTCTTTTTTGTTTTCCACTGTTGTCTGTTGAGCGGGCAAAGGAGGGTTTACAGGGGGAAGGGGTTTCAAGGTATTTAATATTTATTCATTTTTATTTATTCATTTTTATTTATTCATTTCATTTATTCATTTTTATTTATTCATTTTCTTTCTTATCTTCTATTCTGCAAGGAATTATGAGGTGACCCTCAGCCAAAAGTTGTTGTAGTGCCGTTCTACACAACACAGTTTTTTTCACCTTTTTCCAGATTTTCAATGTTTATTTTTATTTTTATTTTTATTTTTTGCACGCAGGGGGGGCACCATGGGCTTCCCCCTGAGGTCCCTACCAGGCCTGGCGTACAGGCATGTGTCTGGGACTCTGGGCACACAATTTGTGCCCGGGCGGACGAAAAAACAGCCTAGGAAATAAGGTACTTGGTTACGACTTCCACACTGACAAGTGCAAAGATTCCCAAAGAACCAGCACGCCAGAACACACAAATTCGAGCAGCAAGGAGAACACGTTGAAGACAACGCATACATAAGGTAATACTCACACTAGGCCCTCAAAATCACAAAATCCCAAAATGACCGGCCAGATCTAGTACTTTCTTTACAAGGCTCGATCTGGCCGCTCATTTTGTTATTTTGCGATTTTGAGGGCCTACACCACTACCACTGCAGGGGACGTTTTCCTGAAAAAAAAAGAATAAAAAAAAAGAGGGCCTAGTGTGGGGATAATTGGTAGAAGGCGCCCACGCCAAAACCTTTTTGGTTTTGGCTGCTTAAAGTTCAGCCGTTTGGTACTACCGGCCCAATGTCTTCCATCTGGGGTACTACAGGCCCACGCGTCACTCCAAGGGCCCTACCGGATCATGAATCTGGAGCATAAACAGCGCCAAATTCATTTTGATGTAGAAGAGGCCGAGGGTGGTACCGCTGAAGGATAGAATAAGGCCCACCTACCGGATTTTGAAAAAAGAAGGGCCCTACCGGTTTATGAATCTGGCGCAAAAGCAGCGCCAAAGTCATCAACCGGTAAATACAGGCCAAGGGAGCTGTGGCCACAGCGCGAAGGCGCCTTTCACCCATGCTGAAGACATTTGGGCCAGTAGTACCAAACGGCCGAACTTTGGGTGGCGAAAGGTTTTGGCGTGGGCTCTTTCTACCAATTATCCCCCTAGTGTGAGTATGCTCTAAGTAGACCACACTGAAAGCAGGAAAAAAATGGCTGACAAGGGGCCTCACTCCACTACTCTCCTACTACTCTCCTAATGTACGAAGAGTGGGGGTCCCTGTTAACCGCTTGTGCAAATGTACAAAATGAAAATGAATCCTCTGCTAGAACATGGAAAGATACACCACCACAATTTTTGTATTTTGTGCATATGGAGAGTAGTGGAGCAAGGCCCAACGCCCAGAGCACAGCAATGCAAGAGAACACTGAACACTGAACACAATCAATACAACAACAGAGTAGCCCTAAGCACTGGTATGACCTACTATACCACTTCCCTACTCTAGCCTATTGTCACTAGCCTACTCTCTCTCTCTCTCTCTCTCTCTCTCTCTCTCTCTCTCTCTCTCTCTCTCTCTCTCTCTCTCTCTCTCTCCAGACGACCGCTGAAGAGTCATGATCACATTGGTGCTCAATCACCAGGTAGGTATCTGTCAGTCCCCACAGGCCTCCTACTTCTCCCAGGACCTCCCCTTCGACCTTGCCACCCTACCTCCACCACGATGCTCCCATCTAGCTATCACCCCCACACAAGGACTGCCTCACTGGGCGGTGTGCTGCTCTGCCCATTGCTCTCAAATACCAGTTCTAACACGAGCAACTGACCCCTACCCCCCCACGGCCTTCCTTGTTCTCCCAGGACCCTTCCCTTCCACCTCGACACCCTCCCTCGAACGCGCCAGTGCACCGCCACTGCCTCCCTGGGCGGTGCGCCGCACTCCAAGCAAGCGCCTGCTGCCCAATGTGTCCCCTTGCCCTGGTCTCTTCCTTTTGTCAATTCAGGCTGGGGTCTCGACTGCCTGCCCGGTAGGGCCTGCCTACTGGCCCAGTCCCTACCAGGTCAGGTAGGTAGCTGGCCTGATCTCGACCCCTATTCGGGCCCACCAGCTAACTACCTGAACGCGTCCTGGTCGCAGCCCTCTTTTGCCTGGTCGTGCCCTCAGAGCCTCGCACAGGGAGCAACCCACATATATCCAACGAGTGCACAAACTGCCTTGTTGAGCAGAGAGAGGGTCTGTGTTGTATTCATTTTTTTATTTTTTTTTTAATATGAGCCTTGGGTTTTCAAAAAAAAAAAAAAAAAAGGAGAAGAGAGGGGGTCTCTCTCTACTACTCTCAAATCTCGAAAAAAACTTGGGACTCCAAGTCACTTACTCTCCAAAGCTGCACTCTCAATTTATTCGAGAATTAAAAAAAAAAAAAAAAAAAGATGACAAAGGAAAAAGTGAAAGCACAGCCCCAACTCCCGGTGTACTCTCCACTACACCGTACCCTACATGCATTTGGTCGCTTTCTTGGCCCTATACATTCAGAATGTTGACATCTCGGATTGCACCTATAAAAAATCAAAAGATTACAAAGGAAAAAGTGACAGCGCAGCCCCAACTCCCCGTGAACTCTTTACTAAACAGTACCTACATGCATTTGGTCTCTTTCTTGGCCTGATACATTCCGAATGTTGGACTGCTCGGATTGCACCAGGTCAAGAAAGCATCCAAATGCATGCAGTGTTGTGTAGTGGAGCATGGCCCAAAGACTCGAGTTGTTGCAGGCTGGGGATCTCCAACTTCGGAGAGCACTCTCGAAATGCTTTTCAAGAGTCGGGGCGTCGCCGCACGGCACACGAAACGAAAAACGAAATGAATGCATCTTCCGGCAGAAAATGGCCAGGTTCGTCAGTTTGCTATAAATAGTAACGAGTGTATTTTTCAACCTTTCGTGGGCAAATGCACTCGTTTCGTTTTCGTTTCGTGTGCCGTGTGGCGAGGCCCTCACATTGAAGAGTAAGGGCCTCACCGACGCAAGGGCATCGACGCACCAGCTCTCACCAATGAATTGCTGTCAGAACTTCTTCGTGAGAAGTTGTGGCATGTCATGTTTTTGCTCATTTCGTCTGCATTGGAGATCTTTCGTCTCCATTCAAAATCTTTCGTCTGTATTCAAAATATCCCGTAGCCGCTCAAATCTTTTGGGTCTCCTCATTCACATCCGTGCTCGATTTCGTCTCCATTCCTGAATTGCTGTCAGAACTTCTTCGTGAGAAGTTGTGGCATGTCATGTTTTTGCTCATTTCGTCTGCATTGGAGATCTTTCGTCTCCATTCAAAATCTTTCGTCTGTATTCAAAATATCCCGTAGCCGCTCAAATCTTTTGGGTCTCCTCATTCACATCCGTGCTCGATTTCGTCTCCATTCCTTTTCTTTTTTGGGAAATCTCCAATCTACTGGTGGGGACCAGCACCATTCCAGTCCGTCGTTGCTTATGCTTTTGATTGTTGACGTGCCATGAGTGAAGTGCACAATTTCCATGTATCTTTCAGATCTGTGGACAATTTCCATGTATCTTTCAGATCTCTGCTCAATGCTCATGCCACTACTGGCGTACCAGTCAGTGTCGCTATTCCATTCATCATTAGCTGCCACGTGGACGTGGGCTATGTTGGAAGATGGAACTTGCCTTGCAGGAGGGCAAGATTGGCCCTTGCTCCACTACTCACCACATGCACAAAAGACAAAAAATATGACAGTGTATCTTCCCATGTTCTAGCGGAGGATTCATTTTCATTGTGCGCATTTTTTGGTGAGTAGTGGAGCGAGGCCCATTGTTCACATTCATACCGTTGAAGTATTTCAAGAAAGCCGCCACTCTTCCTGGTGGTGGGGGTTGAAACAAAATATTGCCACAGCGGACAAGACATTGAAGACAAGCAATGTATCATGAACAGTTAAATGGACAGTTAGTCAAAACTTCAGTCCATAAAATAAATAAATATTAAATAAATAATTGGGGTCTTCCAAATGGAGTGTAAAAATAGAAAAGACAACAGAATCCAAACACGGCATAGTAGATTATGATAGACGTTACTTTACAAGAGCCAGCCCTAGCTTGCTATGTGAGGAAAATAATAATAACAATAAGCTTGGTACCGCTATAGGAAAGGGGTAGGATATGGGGAAGTGAAGTGGGGGGGAGCAGAAGAATAGGGCAGAGAGGAAAGGGAGGAGGAGAGTGCGGGGAGGGACAAGAAGAACATGGGGGGTTCAAAAGGACAAGGAATTGAAGAGGGAAGCAGCAATGACTAAGGGGGGTGCAGGATGGAGGAAGTAGGTGGGTCCTGACAGGAGAGAGTGGATGGACGCTGTCTCTTATACACATCTAGATGTGTATAAGAGACAGGTACAAAGGCAGGTTCAGATTCTTCAGAATAATAGAATGCTTAAGAGAGGGGGGGAAGAGGGGGGGAAGAGGGGGGGAAGAGGGGGGGAAGAAAGAGAAACACTGGAAAGACAAACCTGAGCCCCAATGGCCACGATATGATATGCGTGTTCCCCAGAAAGCCATGCTGACAAGTCTTCAGGCTGTAGGGCACACATCAAGAAGAAGAAGAAGAAGAAGAAGAAGAAGAAGAAGAAGAAGAAGAGGAAGAGGAGGAGGAAGGGGAAGAACAAGAAGAACGAGGAGGAGGAGGAGGAGGAAGACAAAGAAGAAGAAGAAGAAGAAGAAGAAGAAGAAGAAGAAGAAGAAGAAGAAGAAGAAGAAGAAGAAGAAGAGGAAGGCAGGCAGAAACAAAGAAGAGGTAAGTACGTTCAAGTCACATTCAAGTATCGAATATGCAAAAAGACCCGCGCCGGCAAAGATACCAGGCACCGAGTTTGGAAAAGCAACGAAAGTACCAACGGCCGTGGTGTAGGCCGGGTGTCATATTTACAGTGCTCGGCCGTGGTGTCAGATGGGGAACGGAGGGGGGGAGGAAAGCTCAACGGATACTTTTGGACCCAAATTATCGTTTCGAAGTATGCGCCTGTTTCCTTTGCCGGCGCGTGTTTTTTTTGCCTTTTGCAAACTCAAACCCTGCCGCATCCGCCGTTGTTTCATCGAAGAATAATCAGAAGGTTGCTAAAGCCACAGGGATGCAAAGCTTGAGAGCGGTTCACTCTCAGGGCAAACTCACACTAGGACTTTTTCAACTTATCTGCGGACGTGATTGATGTCAGGTGCATCCAGGGGGTGGACCGAAAAAGCAGTCAGGTACTGTTACATGCTGAACCTGCACACGGGCCCCATTTTGGGGGCCCGATGGTTTCTGGGGGGCCCCAGGCCGCACGCCCTTTGGACATGCGCCCTAGAGGCCCACGGCCAGCCTTAGGGCCGCAGGATTCAATTTGGGGCAGAATTCATGTATTCATTTATTTATTTATTTATTTATTTATTTATTTATTTATTTATTTTTTTGCTGTCCTATTTTTGTCTGTTCAGGCGTCGCTTCGAGCAAGGCCACTATTTTGGCCTGGAACGAATGTAGGCAGGCCCTGTTGGGCCAGGTCCACTTTTGTCCGATAGCGGACACTCCCTGCTGCATCATCAGCAGGGAGGGCCTGGACGTCCGGTAGGGACCCCGGCAGGCCGTTTTAGGCCTGGGACCAGAGGCACACGGAGGCACACCCAGAAGGGCCCAGCGCTACTTATAGCTGGGCCAGGCCAGGGCAGACACACTGTTCGAGTAGCTTACTTCTTGGGTGGCACGCTGCTGGAGCAGCGCGAAACAGCGCTGCGCTAGGTGTAGGGGCGTAGGTAGGAGGTGAGACGGAGGCCATACCTGCGAGGCGGTACTTACATGGGCGCCATAGCTGGACTCCATGCCAGCGACCTGCACATAGAGACACGCCGGTGACAGTTAGAACATGGCGGCAGCTACCTCCAGGTGAGACAGCGAGGACGACATCTTCTTCTTCTTCTTCTTCTTCTTCTTCTTCTTCTTCTTCTTCTTCTTCTTCTTCTTCTTCTCCTTAGTCTCGCGCTCCATCTCTTCTTCCTCCGTATACGCCCTGCATCCTTCGCTCCATATGGCTTCATCACTTCTTCTTCTTCTTAGTCTCGCCCTCCATCTCTTCTTCTTCCTCTCGCCCTCCATCTCTTCTTCTTCTTCTTAGTCTTGCTGACATCAGTTGGTATCGTAGCTGCGCGTTGTGAATTTGGACAGCCTAACCTGACCTGACGCGCGAGTAGGGAATCGGTTGATTGATTGATTGATTGATTGATCGATTGATCGATTGATCGATTGATCGATTGATTGATTGATCGATTGATCGATTGATCGATTGATTGATTCAACCTAATGAACTTCTGATGCGCGATTTCTGCGTAAATTCGATTTTCTTTAATTTTCTTGAAATTCGAATTTTTCGCTGTTTTGATATTCCGAAATTTTCTTTTTTTCCATTTTTTTCGGTAAATCTCTCTTCACAGTTGTGTTCTGGGGATTTCACGTCTCAAAATCGGAAACTGCTGCGTTTACTCCATGGTAACCGCGGACCCGAACACCAGACACTCCTGGACTCTCTTCCGGACCAGTATCTGGACCGGTCCAGACTGTCCGGTGATCCGGACATCACCGGACCCGGACCGGTGTCAGGGGGTACAAAATGTCCGGACCCAAAAAAAAAAAAAAAAAAAAAAGGGAGTTGGTTTAGATCCAGATATCCCACTAGTCCTCGTATCCCTTGCCTCGTTCCCCTGCACCGGGACCGTGATCCCGTCCAAGTTCAAGTATTCCTGTCCTCAATATTTGTCTGTCCGAATTACGTAGCCCTGGTTTCAGTCCCGGTTCCCACTCTCCCACCTTGTGCTCAGTCTGCAAGGCCGCTAGCCCTAAACCCACTAGATAGCCCTTCACTGTAAGCTCCTGGTAAGCGTCTGAAAACGTTCCCAACAGCGTATTCTGCGAGTTGCCAGCAAACCCACAAGCTACGCTACACAACCCTGTTTTTTTTTGTTTTTTCTTTTGGAAGTCGATATCGGACTTCCACTAACCCTGCAGTGGATTTCCTAAATCCTTGTCCGTACCAACACGCCGAAAACCCGAATCCCAGATTGGCCGCGCCAGATTTATTCAAGTAGTCCAGTCTACACATCCCAGCCGGCATATAGACCATCTACCCTTCCAGATTCATCCTACTACTTCCGCTCCCTAGCCCTGCAGCGGATTTCCTAAATCCTTGTCCGTACCGACACGCCCCAAACCCGAACCCCAGATCGACAACACGCCAGATCTATTCAAGTAGTCCAGTATATACTCGCCCCAGCCGGCATATAGACCAGCAACCTGTCCAAATTAATCCTACAACTCCCGCTCCCTCTTTCACTAGATATATCGTCCCATCGCCCTCATTTACTACGCTTGTTTTACTCCGGACAGTCCAATCCAACCGCCCACACCTCTACTCAGGCCAGCAAATCCTTCCAAATCGCTCCAAATAGCTCCCCATTCTGTCTTTTTTTTTTTTTTTACCCTAGTTTCTTCTCTCAATCCTGTATCTACATCATGCTAACTACCTTTTCTTCTTTTTTTTTTTCATCATGTAATGGGTTACCTTTATTCCGGAGGACACAAGTTCTCCGTTTCGGAGCCAGCCTCACATCGACCAACTAACCTGAGCTATCCTAAGGTTATGGGTGGATTCCTACCTAACTCTGCTCTGTGAGGGGAGTGGCACGCAGGCTCCTAACACCTGGCACGGGCTGGAAAGCGTGAGTCTTCCACAACCAGCCAGGAGGGACAAGCCGACTTTCTCAGTCTGCGAACCCGAAGTATGCCACACAGGGGGTCGTGGGGAATCGAACCCACGACCTCCAGTGTATCACTTACGTGCTCAACCGACTGTGCTACGCCGCTTGGCCAGCTCCCCATTCTCTGATTCACCAGCTACATAGGTTTTTTTCATCTCTGCTGAGTTCTGCAACAGCCTGCTACGATGGGGTCACTGCCTCTTGGTAATATGTTTGCCCCGGTACTTTCAATGATCGGTACATTTTATGAGGGACGCTGGGCTTGATTCCCAGGACGTGCAGCTCCCCACGAATAGATCAGAGCATTTTTTGAAAGAAAAAAAAAAAAAAGGTTTGGCACTGTCGGGACAGAGGCTCCAATGATCTTATTTATTGGTGGGGAGAAACACCTGCTGGGAAAGGGCCTAGCAAGGAAAAGGGCCCATTGATAATAACAGTGGAACACTGGATGCGTGGGTCAACATAGATTACCCCTCCCAAAGCAGAGAGGGGGAGCTAGTATCCACTCATAAATGAAAGAATCATTCCACCCTTCTGGTAACAACAAACGCGAAGAATACTACCCTATTACAGAAACTAAGCAATACCCAACACTCTGATTTGGTCTGTCATAGACGGCAATCTGGACTCTTAGCAAACCTGCAGCCGCCTCCCTGCAGAGACTGGTGGCAACCTTTTTGTGGAGAGGAAACCATAGTGTCTTCGAGCTATTAGCAGAGTGGCCTGGATGTCAGTTATACACCCTAAATCTAGACGGGGGTTGGGGATTATTGACCCAAAATCCCAGGTGATGGCCCTTGCCCTCCAATGGGTGAAAGGCCTACTGTTCTCCACGCAGGCACCATGGCAACCTCTAGATTACAGCAAATCGCCAGGCTGGAGCCACCTGCCCCTCCCGAGGTCAACCCTGAGACATGGCTCCAAGACAGATACTGGACTATACCCAGGCCAACGAAGACCAGTAAGGATGGGGAGTCTGATAGACAGGCAACCAGACAAGACGTAAAAAAGGACCCCCTTTGGGCAAACATACTGAAGATCTGGCGGAAACTACCCTTATCGGATAAAGTCCCACCGAAGCGTGAGGAAGTGGCCCGTCAACCCCTCTTTGGAAACCGATGGATAACAGACCGGCACAGCAGGATCCTCCATAGCAGCAAGCCCCCCTAGAGAGGGTGGGTCAAGGATATCTGGGACCAAGACTCCAAGGACTGGCTGTCGGAGACTCAGTTGAGGGAGAAGCTGAGATATTGTCACAAGGTGGGAGAGGCATTGGAAATGGTTGTCTTTGCCATCCCCCTAAACTGGGTTCAGATCCTGCGCAGAGGTCCATCGGTGGAGGACGGGGATCGGGTAGGGTTCTGGGGGACAGACAGGGTGATTGGGAGCGTAGTATATACTCAACCAAAAGGGGCGGGGGAGGAACAGGAAGTGGTGGCCCACCGGTTCAGGATAAGGGCTGACAACAGTTTAGAACGGGTACAACCAGAAGAAACAGAATGGTACCCGAGGTCGAGAGTTTTCCGGGTTCGTGTCCTTAAGGAAAAGGACCAATGGAAGGTGTACAAACCAAAAAAGCCAATACAGGAACTCGCCCTCGACCCCAATGAATGGATATGGTCTCTCCAATATGACAAAGGAAGATCTGGGGAAAGGCAGCTGCATAACCTCTCGATTAAAGCTGCTTACCGGATGCTGCGACCAAGAATTAACTTGAGGGACAGGGTGGAGTCGCGTTGGATGAAACATCTCAAAATAGGGAATAAATGCTGCGGCCGGTAAAGTGGTTTAAAGAAAACAAGGCTATGCCAGCAAAACTAGCCTCCCTACCATGGCAGGTGGAACAAAGATGCCTGCCGACAAATGACTGGCTAATAGACATAACACACCTGGAGCAAAAAGTGTTAGCACTCCCCTGGTGCACATTATGTACAAAATCCTTTCCGATTAGGAAATGGCCCGAGACCATAGAACATATGTTTCTGCAGTGCCCGGCAGCGATATGGCTGTGGAGGTGGTGGGACCGCATCTGGAGACAAATGGGAGCCTCACAACCCTGGCCATGGGACTGGAGGGCTCTCCTCTGCGAAGCATGGGCCCCGGCGCAAGCCACAACCGTTAAAGAGAATATGTTTAAAGTGGGGTGCAGAGCCATTATCTGGGGTATCTGGCGTCGTCGGTGCAAACTGGAAATAGAAGGGGTTCGCCGGGATGGCACAGATTTCATCAGTACAATAAAAGAACAAATACAAGAAGACATCGTTATTCAATGGGGAAAAGTAAAACAGAGAATAGCTTTTTTACATTCCAAACAAGAAATCAGACAAAACATAGAAAGTTTCTGCAAAGACTAGCTGGGTGGGGAACAAGGGGGGTGGATCGCGAAGGGGGGGTGGAAAGGAAGGGAGAGGGGGGGGGGACGAAATAGGAGATGGGGAAAGAGACTACCATCTATGCTTTCAGGACTGGACGAAGATTGACCCCTCTATCCCGCCTCGGCCCCTGTCAGAATTTGTTGAGTTTTTCCCACCCCCACCCCTGGCTTTGGTGAACATAGAATGGTATGGGGCGGGGAGTGGGTAAAAGGGCAGATCTAGGTAGGGAGGGTAGGTTGAGGATCAAGAGGTCAGATTTCATTTGACTATGGAATACCTGCAAGACTCTCTATTGTCTATGCTGTATCAGGGACGCCAGAGTAATTAATGGTTGGGGGAGGGAGGAACCAGTGCGTAGAAGCAGGCATTTGGCGCCGGATTCGGGGTGAAGAGGCTCCCCCCTCCCTCCAATATCCTGCTCAGTCAATCCTCTGGATCCCAGGGTAATCAATGCTGGCAGGAACCCCCCATATTCGCTTTCTGGTATGCTCTCAATTCAGTCTGTATATGGGACGCTGGACCCGTTTTCCGGCAGGTGACGCTCCCCACCAATAGACGGAGCCGCTCTACAGGTGCTAGTGGTGTGTACTCTTATCAGCACCACTAACACCGGTGGGGGCAAGGAACCCCAGGATTTCAATACACAGAGGGAGAGAGGGAGAGAAGGAAGGGAAGGAAGGAGGGATGAGCGAGGAAGGGAGAAAGGAGGGAAGAAGGTGAGGGAACGAGGGAACGAGGGAGTGAAGGAGTGAGGGAGTGACGTGAGGGAGTGAGGTGAGGGAGTGAGGGAGTGAGGGAGTGAATGGAGGGAGGGAGAGGGA